CCCATAGTAGGGTGACTATAATGATTACGCCATGGATCCGGTGGATCTGAAGATAATACAGCTGGGATGATGGGTCAAGGGAAGAAGGGACATGCAGCCGAGCCTGGTAAGAGATTTAATGAGTGAAAGACATAGAAGGTAAAAATCCAGGCAGGTATAGGCTTAAGTATCAATACAGAACTCAATTTGCACAGTAACACGCAAGTGCCTTCCTGCCCTCAAGAACCGGAACTACATTGGCCGTACGAGCTCGAAGAAGGTTGGGAATTGCGAATCTAGTGTTGGTAGCGATAACTGGATAATACATTGGCCAGATCCTACAACCAAGTGAGCTTTTCCCTTACTTGTGCAGATCCGACAGGTTAACCGGATTTACTACTTGGTCGGTTACACCCTAGAGGCTCTCAATTCTTAAGATCCAGTCACAGGAGGCGGCAAGTACGACGCAAAGGAAAACGCAAAGGCAAGGGAACACACCCGCAAGGCAACCCTACGGCCAGATCCACGATCTAGGCCCCGGATCCATAAGCTCGAATATTTGCTTAGGATTCGGTACAATCCACGGACGCAGAGTGAAGATTTTTCATTGCTGTTCCACCCCATCCCCACGTCTCGCCAAGACACTCAAGCTTCACCACTTGAGCTCTTCGGAAGTTACCAAGAGAGCAAGATCCCGCCCTACCGACGGGTACACAAGGTGAGGAAAGTTCAGCAGAACACGGATCATCGGGGGACTCCCTCTGTTAGTCGGTGTCTGGGCGCAGTTGGTAAGTTGGATCCAGCAATCTCGCAGATTTTGCTGATCCCGCTACACCACAATAGTGCGCGTGCCCGGATCTTTTAGTGACTCGGGATTCCACCGTGAGTCCCAAGAAGATGCTCAAGTGAAGATTGAGCCAGGGGAAGAGGCGTCGTCGGAGGTCGGATCGACGAAGACGCTGCTGAATGAAACAAGATCCGCGGATCGATGGAGTTTTGGGAGGAACTCTGTCGACGGAAGAGAGGTGGATCCGGATCCGGATCTAGAAGAGAAACCTCTCGATCCTCCCCAGGTCCCCTCGGGGACCTCTGCGGATCTTGACGCAAGTCAAGATCCGCTAACAAAACAAGGGAAAGTGAAAGCGAAACGGTATGCATTTGCAGATTCACCGGTTAAGCCAACACCGTACCTAAACCCAAGCCCGCTAGTCGAAGAAACGAGAAAGAAGACGAAAACGAGTAAGACTACGCGGAAGAAGATGCAAGCTCCAGAGTCGGAAGAAGACCAAGCTGGATCCAGGTCAAGCTGGTCCAAGGATCTCGTGTTTGTGTATCGCCACCAAGCTTTACGCGACTTCCTGCATCTAGATCCGGTCATGCAGATCCTGAATCACCACAGAGCAGATCGACGATCCAAGGGAACCGGTGGGAGCACCAACGAAAACGGC